TATAGAGGAATAAAGTCAGTATGTCTTTAATTATCAAAAAAATAAAAATAAAAAAGAGATAAAAATCAAAGAAATAACATTCATCCTATTCTGCTGCCATCTGTAAATACAGATCTGGGTGAAGCTGATTCATTTTTAGATCTTAACCAACAGCTTATGTCCTTATGAAGACAGTTGATGGGACCAATATGTCCACCATGGTGGGTGCTGATGCTGTCACAAATGCATTAAGCCCACTGATTTCTGCAAGCACCTGCACATTTTCCTCCATTTTCTCAGCGACAAGCACCGGCCACATGCTTCCTCCTGTTAGCTGCACACTAGGACTGAATATCAAACGCCACTGTGGGGCTAAATTATTCAAATATCTAACCTTTATTATTCTGAGGTGATGTGTTTTCTTCCTTGCACTCACAAGATTACAGAGAAAACGTGGCAAACGACCAAGACAAGAAAGTGAAGATTGGATCAGAAAGATGTGACCTTGAGCTGTACAGGACGCAAACATTTTGTCCATGAGTTAAGCTGAAGTGACAAATACTGAAATAGGAGCTGAGCAAGAACATTTCATTAAAGCCATTAATAATTCATGTCTGCTCTCTTGTTTCTACAGTTGGCTGCGTACAAAGAGCAAATGTCAAACACTTTAACCTGGAACATCCTGTTTCAGTGACCATGAGCATTAAGCTGTGATGCAGTGTGTTCTCCCCACCACAAAGTGGCAAAATATCCATCATACTAGATCCACCATTACCCTGAAAAACAATACACATTAGATAGATGATCATCCTGATAGCACAGCCGATCTGTGCTCTATATTATCAAAGTTTAGAGATGTTCAGAACAATCAAGCCATCCAAATCTGCTCCTCACCACTCGGATAAGACAGGAAGTACTCAGATGGATGATGGGGCTGAATCTCATTAAAAGATGAATTCACTTTACTGTCAGGCAAATCTGCAACACATCTCCTCTGTCTCCCTGCCCCTCTTCTTCAAACGTCGGCCAGAGCATCTTTGAAGACTCAAACTAAATCTAGTTCAAGCTGCAGGGCAGACAGGAGGAGTGCCAAATGTTACAGAGCAGAGGCAGAGTGAGGGATGAAAGTTACATTTGAAATGAGATGACTACTTTACCTTCATAAGAGATGACACAAAGGACTAGACTGTTAGCAGACAATGTTTTCACAGTAGTTGAGGGGATGGTTGATTTTTGAAATGTGACGTCTTATTTAGTTAGAGTGCAAAATGTTTCACTTGTGAGATGTTGTAAAAGTTTCAAAGATTATTTTATTTAAGAGAAGATAAATGATTTGATTACACTGATGACATTTTTAATTGCAGGAGTGATGATTTAGAGATTCAGAGACAAAGAGGACCCGGACAGAGTAAACCATTGTCTCAAAACATCACCTTTAAAGTTTTAACATTTGTTGCTTTTGATGGTTTGAAAACTTGGGTTTTCTGTTTTTGGGTCAAAAAATCCCCCTCTCCTTTTCTTTAAAATGACTCCTGTGTCTCGTGCCTTACTGCTTGGTCCCCAACAGTCTCACAGAGCAACGGGATGTTGATTGTATGCAGGTAGATTCACACGTGTGATACCTACACATTTATCATGTTCCCTCTGTTTGGAGAGCAGACGTTATTTATCTTGAAAGTTAATGCAGATAACTTTAGCAAAAGTAGGCCTTCCTCCTTTCCCACATTCTAATTTCTCTGTAGAATTATGATAAAGTTAAGTCCCTGGTGGTCATTTTTGCAGTTTCCTCAAAGTCTGCCCCTTAAGTCAGGCATGACTTGTCTTTAGTCATTACTGAAGCACAGTATCATTATAGCACACTTCAGTGATAGTGGCATGAATATTAGATTGTTGGCCGAGGCCCCCTGAATCATAACAACCATAATACCGTGTGATGTGTCTTTAAAGGTGCCAAATAACCATTATGAACCAGCCTCCCTTCTCTGCTCTTAATTGTGTAAAGTGATGTTTGAACAGCTTCAAATGTGTTGACACTACAACGCAGTAATACTCGTCTTACAATCATGTGTCAATAGAAATTATAATTTACACGACAGATTAGAGAGCTGCCAGCACAGTTAAACCCCTCATAGCAGATTTGGAGGGTGTTGATTCACTGCTCACATCAAGGGTAAAATGTCCCTTCCCACTTCCTGTACTTTGTTTTGTGGCAAGATTTAATGCGACTGTCAATCTGCTCTAAAATCTGACATGAGACTGTTCCCTTAATGTTGAACAAATGAGGCTCATAACAAGTAAAGACCCAAGTTTAAAATCTGTCAAAAGGTTATAATGAGAGGGTGGGGCAGGGAGCGCTGCCTGGATGACACTCGCCCCATAAATCTTCATCTTGTTATTCATAGATGAGGATTCATTTTTCTACAGTGGTTGAATAATGAGATGACAGAACCAGGGATCAATGATTAAAGTGAAATGGCCTTTGTTCAATCACATGACGCACAAACTTCCAAAGTTACATTCATCATAACAACATATATCCTCTGAGACCAGGGGGGAGTCTCAAACGTTAATACTGTACTGTTGAGTCAAGAAAAAAAATCATATTTCAAGGTTAAACAACATAAGGTTAGCATCCAACCACTTCTTAGCTAGCATTAGCCTTTCATAGTGTTAAATAATCAGATAGGAATTGCCTAAATTCCTTGCAATAGGAAATGTAAGCTAACTAGCAATGTGTTTAATGCTAAACGCTAAGCTGTTGCGACATAGCTGGAATACTGAGTTATCAAATGTTTTACCCTGAAATATTCCTGATATCTCTTAGACTATCAATAATCAGCGTCTTTTTCAGTAAAAGTAAAACAATTTGACAAGTTAACAGCAGCTTTCAACCAGGTCTTGGCTAGCATTATCCATTTACAGTGTTACTAGCTTAAGGTAATGTAAGCTAGCTTGGAATGAGTGAAATGCTAATGTTAGCTGTTGTAACTTATCTAAACAGAGTTAAGTGTCATAGAGTTAAGATAAGTTGTAATATGGAAGGTTGTCCCTCATGTTGTTAGTAATCTTTGTCTTTTTAGATAACACATTTGATAAACCATAAGCTAACAGCTAACATTGTCTTCCAACTCATTTCTGGCTGAAAACAGTGTCGTCTACACGCTACTCTCTAATGGTCAGGTAAGCTTTCTAAGAACGGGATTTATGTGCTATTTGGTTTTATCCTGAAATAATTGATACCTCTCTGGATTCTTACTATTGTCTTACAGAATTATTTGAAGACATTAAATTAATGTGTGATGAATTGAATCAAATAAAAAATATATAAAAAGGACGAGATTAGAAACTTGCTATTTGGTTTTGAAATTTTGAAAATAAACTACAGAATTGTTTGCTATCATGCTTATTTCTGATGTATGCTAAAGGGTTTCCATTGGAACCAAAATCATGCCATCATGAATTAAAAATCAAAATGGATATTGTCATTCAGTCCTTATAATCAGTATTTTAACAAATTCCTTGCAACATCGGCTTTTCTTCTCAACTTGAACGCACAGTGTCTCTCACTTAGCCTCTCACTATACTTCCCATCTTTCCCTCCACCAGACTGTCACATGATTGCATCAGTGTCACCTGGACTCTGTTACCTCTCTCTGATACATGGTGGTCCAGACAGCCGGACAGCCGGCCCCTCTCTGCCGTGGACATGCAGGACATAAAGCCCTCCCCTGGGATGGGCTCAGTTCCAGCTCTGTACTGTGTGACCCACTTCTTTGACAGCAGCTCTGTTAAAACTTTCACGAGTGCTTCTCTTGCTGAGCCACAAAGGCAAACACCGGGGAATGAAAAGAAAGTGAGGCAGAAGGGGCCTCAACATTGTGACTAGCACATGTTTATTTCTGCCATTCAGAAGAGCTGTTTATTTTATTCATGTTTTACAGTCCTTATCTTGTAAGTAGCCGTTGTCTTCAAATTCCACTCAAAACAGCAAGAAAATAAACTTAAAAAGCATTGAAAAGATAACTTCATCCACCAAAGCAAATATATAGTCAGCTTTTTCATGAACTGGTAAAGCATTTCAGAGCAAACACTTAACAAAATATCTGGTTTGCAAGTCTGAAATCAATGACTTGAAACTATCCTGTGGATCTGCAACCTATTTATTAAAGGAGCAAGAAAAATGCCTTTCATGTCTATATCTGCTCCTTTTTTTTATTTTTATTTTTTTATTATTTACTTTTTTTGTAGAATTTCCAGCAAATGAAGGCTCATTACTCTTGGTGGCGTCTGACTCTTAAAATATCGGCTAAGGTTTTGTTTGTAAGTTTGCTTGAACATACAAACAAAAAAAACTGAATATGGGTCCATTTAAGTCGTCTAGTTAAGACCATGTAGGCTACTGTAAATCAGAAATGTTCACTTTTAATTACCATAAAAAGGCCTGTTTCCTCTTTGCAAAAGATTTTTTAGAGTAATCAAAAAATGAAATAGCATTTTCTCTTACAGTTGTGTTAAATTAATGTATTATATAAAAACTAACTACTTGATTTAGGAAAAAAGGGTTTCCATATAAAATAAATGTAATATCACTCCTTAAATTGATATAAATGTACACTTTCTTCAAAAATGTCAGTTAACCTCACATCAGATGTGCTCAATGTATTTAAATGAGGACCAGGAAGAGAACCTAAAAATGAATAATGAAAGATTTCAGCTGTTTCTAAACATGTATGATTTGCACAATTCTGAGTAGAATCATCAGTGTGTTGTAAACAAGGCTGTAAAATAAGATATTCTCAGAGTGATAAAAAGCTGAAGTGTTCATGTCCTGCACACTTAGGCCTTGCAAACTTGGTTTAAGTATCCTACCATTCAACCATTCAGTTTAAATCTCTCCTATACAGTTCCACATGTCAGTCAGTATGAACTCAGATCTCTTAAAACAAGACGTTGTCGGGGGGAAGAAGGACATGACAGGAGAGAGAGGTGATAATTGACAGTATGACACAATCTTTTCTCACCTCAGCACCATGGGACAGACTCCTTTTCCTGAAGGTCGGCGAGGGCTCGGCTGATTGTAGAGGGGTCAGACCTCCGTTCTTCAACAGCTCCCTTGAGGGCGACTTTGGTACAGTCCACACAGGTACACCATCTGAAACATCAAAAGGCAGCGTCAGAGCTGAATGTGGACTAAGAGTAAACAACAGTGAGGAGGAGACGCTCAGGATCTACTACTATATCATTTCTTCTTTCCAGTTGTGAGAAATAATGCTTGATCTTTAGATTGATCAAATAAATATGCAACAGAATCAGAGAGGTACTCATATCATATCATCCTCTAGATCCTTTTTATTTCTGACAATCAATATCAAGGGGCTCATAAATAGCACTAAATCAAGTGTGTGAGATTTACATCAGGATATTGTGTGTGTTGGTGTGTACTGTACTAAAGTCCAGAATACAGAAATGATCAGAAAGATGATTATTTTTTTCTCAGGACCACAAACAATCAAATGTTCTGTAGAATTATTATAAATCTGCTTACTGAGCCCAAACCATTTCTTGCAAATAACTGCAGTGGCAATAAAGTCTATAAATAATCTTTTTCATTTTCTGCTGTCTTCCATTGACGGATAGTGTATCACACAACTGATGATTCAACTTGTTGGTCTTTTATTAGATCAGAGCTTGCAGTAGTTATAAGCAAATAGTTATAAGTAATTGTCTTTTTATTGTCGTGTTTACATTTGAAAATCCTCCCTAGCTTCTGGGCAGTTTTGTGTCCTAGGAATACATGGCAATGTATGTTGTGACTTTCCGTCAACTTCATATTTTTTGACTTCATACACTTTTTACACATACATACACAGATTATGTGGCAGATAAAATTAGATTTTATTTCTCTAGTATTTTTTTAATGGATTTATTTCAAATTATTCACTGCAGATCGAGTTATACCCTATTTCTAAGAAAGTACAGGTCCATGAGTAACAACCTTATGTGATAAGGTGAAAAGTCTCATGCTTCATGCCAAACACAGGAAGACTGGATTACAGCCTAAAAGGCTTAGCCATCAAATTCAGTCACTACCTCTGACAGCCTCATAAGATTGTGCTCATCTATTGCCCTGATCACATGTTTTTTTTCTCATGTATGTACACCTCCATTGGAAAACCAATTTGCTCTTTGCAAGTTTTCTCATTTAAAAGCCTCTCATGTATACCAGAGTATAGTAGATCATTTTCCTTTAAAGTACTATTAACAGTTCACATGGCCTTCTCATCTCCAGTCCCAACACTTGGGTTAAAAGTCTAATTCACCATGAGGCCATTCTTTGATATCCATTAGTGAGGCGCAAGCCGTGCTGACACAGGTCGACACGCTGGAGAGCCTGAGGCGAGACTGTCTCGACAAAATGTGCTGATACAGCCCTCGGGCCTAAGCTTTGGTCGACTGACAGTTTCATTGACAGGAACCTGAAGAGTGTAAGTGAACCTTTTCCAAAGATACTGGACTCCCACATAAAAGAGATATGAGCAGGGGGAGGTCAGCCCGTAGGCAAGTGGATGTGAGTTGTAAATACAGTGCAAATTGAATTTTTTGAAAAGGTTATTCTCCCGAAATTTTGAGGTTGATATATTCCAGAGAGTGGGTTTTAGGGGTTAAATTTCAAGAGTAGTTTGATTATACAAACACAATTTATGGCAAATTAGTCTGTTTTCTCTGTGATGTCACAATGTAGCACCAGAAGTAGAAACACTCAGTGAGCAGGGGGATATCTGGACCATTGGATAGAGGCATGCAGGTGAATACAAAAGCCGTCGCAGATCAAACAGTGGAGGGACAAACATTCATGCAGTAGCTGTTTCCAATGGCTTTAACCTTTCATTTCTGGGCTGTGACATCGATTAAGATTTTTCAGATGCATTCACATTCAACTCTTACCTTCTTCTTACCCTCACTGTTCCTTTTAATGTCAGTTTTTTTAAATAGTCTATTTTATGCTTGACTCGTTTTGCTAAACTGAAAGGGAAGGAGTGAGCAAAGTTAATTTCCTTTATGGATTATCGTTCCCTTAAAAGAAAAGGTTCTGTGCGTGGGTGACAGAAAAAGGGGTTGGGCTTCAAGCTCTTGGTACTAACAGAGGAGAGGGAAGAGGGGCTCCAAAAAGAGAAAGAGCGAGTGGAAAATTCTCTGTGACATCAGCTGATAATACAATGCTGTCTGGTTTGTGATTGGCAGGTTTTGGATTGGCATCTAAAAAAAATCCTTCAGGTATATGATGCTCTCGGTGATTAGAGTTGGCAACAACAAATTGCTCTGGTTTTGTAGAGGAGCCCGGAGGGACAAACGTGCTGGCCAAACTCAGTCCAATCTCATGCTCTGCTCTAAACCCAAGAAATGTCGTATCCATGCAATGGAAAAAATCTTTCCTGTTTGTGCGTATCAAAACCATTGAACCAACCAACTGACCAGCCAGCTGCTACCTTTATCAGCTGGATCAAATCTAGATGCTGCCCATGCCAATGCACCATATTACCTATCATACGGCAAAACTGAGAACCTAACAAAAACTCCTCACTGATGTGTGGGGGATACATGCCGAAAGCGGGGAGCAGATGGACCCCCACAGGACTTATCAGCCAAGCAGCGGAAGTAAATAGGTTTGTACTTGCGGCCCGGTGGTCCCACTCCACACCAACCCCTGTCTGATGAACAGGTGCAGGGCAGGGTGACTGTTGGTGCAAAGAAAAGACCAGCAAACTGTGAGGACTGGCTGATTGGATGGGATCTGGCACCCACCTAAATGAGGGCCCCAAAAGATCTCTTGAAAGACGGAAGTGCACCATAACTTCTTGGCCTACAATGGATTCCAATAGGCCCCAAGAAGGGACAGAAACAATAATTTTTTTCCATGTTTATCTAGTTTCATGACATTGCATTTTCAGCATGTTCAGCAACATAGCCCATTGGTTTTACTCCCCAGCCATGCACATCCTCGAGCTCTCCCTTAGGCATCCCAGAACTTTCCCCAGTAAAATGGAATAACGCCTTCAGTATCTCTGGGGTTGCCCCAGGTTCTCCTCCCATTTGGATTTGCCTGAAATACCTCCAAAAGGAGGCAGCTCCAAGGCATTCGCATCAAATGATTTCTTTCAAGAGAGGACTGTAGTGGTGCACATAGTTCTCTGCAGATGATTAAACTCCTCACACTACTAGGTGTGTTCAGCCAGAAAGCAAGGTGGATTTAAGAGGTTACACAAACCAATGGAAAGTCAAGAAAGGACAGACATCAGTCAATGAGAATACATTGGGTAGCCCAAAATGAGGCAGCAATACTCATACTTGCCATACTTATCCCAGAATTCACAAACAGAGACGAGACAAAAAAAACAGAGAGAAAACTGCCACCTGAACTGTTGTACATTTGGTATATTGGCAGTGATTCAACATGGACATTAAGTAAGGCAGAGCTACCACATTTGCCTTGCTTTCTGTCGTAACACATTTGTACCCATGTTTGAAGTTATTATTCAAAATCAAAAACATGAACAGAAACTTCCCAACCAACAGATCATCCACTTCTTCAACATACCTCAAAGCCAAACTTTGCAACTATGGCCATACAATCATAAGAGACACATATCAGGTTTAGTTATTAGCCATGTAGAACAATCAAGTGCAGTTCAGTTTTGAACGTATGCATACACATGCACCGCCATTAAACACACATTGAGTTTTGTTTGTTTTGACAACAGCAGAGTTGAAGATTATGCTACATGTACTTGATAAATTTCAATGGGCATCTTAGTGTTCTTCTGGATGGCCACTGGGATCCATTATAACTGCTGTAATTCTGTAGACACACCTTTCAAGCCTTTTGGCAGAGAGTGTTTGGTACTCAATAGATTTTAGAGGAGTACAACCATAAATCAGCTCTAATCTTCCCTGGAGAAAACATTAACAGTCTCTATGGAAGCTTAGCAATTAAAAGACTGTTAATGGATTATAAATATCCTTCTGTACCTTGGAAACCAGGAATATTCCACTGAGTTTCTTGTTCTTGTTTGGTCTTACAACAACCTTAAGTAACTGTTCCTGAATTCTTATCCTTGGGGTTATGGTGATAGAACCAACCACAGGCTACAAATGGTTTTAATTGTAACAACTTTATTGGATTGATAGAGACCTGGCACAGAGAGCGTTAACAAGGCAGAGGTCTGACATTTTAGGCACCAGTGTGGATTCCTTTGGCAAAGACTTAATCCCTTGAGGAGATTTGGAAGTGCATAGTGTCAGTCATTATGTTACAGTTTTTCGATTCCCACAAAAACCCTGACTTATTCTGACATGCATGAAGGGAGATAGTCAGAAATTAATTTCAAGTATCCTGTAAACAATACTGACAACAAATCCATGTTCATACACACTTCACACTCATGCTTGTACTTGGCACTACCAATTTGAGGGACTTGGCATTTCAGTGTTATTGGGGACACTGAAGAGACACGATAATGAATGAAAGACAATACAGGACAGCACAAACTACTACAAACTGACAAAAAACAGAAGTTGAACACATTTAAACCAACAATTTAACACACAAATGCAACACTCAACAGCATTTACTACAAACATTGAAGTTCAAGGTACCGATCAGGCAGGGACAGGAGCCACAGTCAAGCTGCCCCAGCTGAACTTTGCCACTGGTGTTTGGCTCTGGAAGAGGGGACTGGAAAGACAAGAAGGATAAGGGAGATGGAGGGGTCGGGGGCTCCAGTAGCAGCACTGGAACAGGGCCTGGGGCGAACTCACCGGAGGGTGCTTCGTGGGATGTGAAGTTGCTATCGGAGCTCTGACAGTGATGTGGTGCCTGGCTGTGGCTCTGAGTCTGTTGGAGGATGTTCAGGCACTCTCCCAGGCAGCTTAGTGTGGCAGCCGATGTGGCTTTGAGCAGCAACAGGTCCTGGTCCAGACAGGAGAGAGGGCCTCTGGTGGGAAGAGAGTCGATGGACTGAACCAGGTTCTTCTGCTGGCCCTCTGCTTGAGCCATCACCTGAGGGACAAAGCATTAAAAAGATAAAGATTTACTTCATTGATCCCGCAAGGGGAAATTCCGTTTTTACACTGTAAGTCATGCAACACACACATAGGCTGAAATATACAAACAAACAGGATCCTATGGACATGCACTAATGGAGAGATGTCAGAGTGACGGAGCTGCCCACAGTGGGCGCTCCTGAGCTGACGGTGGGGAGGAGGTTTGGTGCCTTGCTCAAGGGCACCTCAGCAGTGCTCAGGAAGCGATCTGGCACCTCTCCAGCTACCAGACCAACTTCCATATTTGGTCTGCACCGCGACTTGAGCCGGCGACCCTCCGGTTCCCAACCCAAGTCCCTACAGACTGAGCTACTGCCGGCCCCCAACACTTCCTCATCATCACTTAATAGATCCATACTGCTTCACTATTGTGTAGGAAGTAATGCAACTTTGCATGAATTCTGGCAATGCTACCCAACGTTTTGCCTACAGGCAACAACTCGTCAAGAACCATCTGCTCGAAGATCAGCACAGCCAAAAACAGAGACTGATAAAACTCTTCAAGCAAATCAAAAAAAACTTCTCCCCTGCTCCGACAGAGTCACACAACATTTCCTTGACTTCTCTCTGTATGACTCACCTTTCAGAGTCTAAATGTATCACAAAAGGAAGGAGACAAAGTCGGCTCTCGCTAGCGGGTAATAAGCCTCTCCCGAGGCTAATGAATCTAACTTGTTTATCAGCCCCGGAAATGTTGTTTTCATTAATATTGTATGGGTTCACACATCCAAACATCCTCTGCACACACTTGAATAACACATCAGTCTCCCTGCTTCACTACACAGATCTAGTTTTGAATGAGTGTGGCTGTGGGGTTTTTCTGTTTTCTTTTAAAGCACCTAGCCTGTACTTCAGCCGCTCACTCCTGCTGGGATAGGATAGGATAGGATAGGATAATACTTTATTGATCTTCAGAGGGGAAATTCGGGCTTTACAACAGCACAGACAAGAAAGCTCAAAAATACACATTAAACAGAATAGATAATAAAAATAAAAATAAAAATAAAAACAGGGGGTATATACAGTACAAAATGAATCATGAAGTTAACTCTATTGAGAATTGAGACAGTATTTGCAGAGAATGACAAGATAAAGTGACAAGTGATGATTAAAGTGACTTGGTATGATAAATAGCAGCAAGTAATGTAAACAGCAGAGAAGAGAGGCAGTGTTGTACCACAGTAATGCAGAGTGCAGTTATATAATATAATGTAGTATAATATAATATAATATAGTGCAATATGAACAATATAGTGTAATATAATGAAATGTTATATAATATAGACTGCTGTAGATGCTGTAGTTTTTGTCTCCAGTGCTTGTTATAAATAGATTCTTCCTGTTCAGCATTCTCATATCGTGTATAATTTTCACAGTGCCCTTCAGATAATCAAGGCTAGCTGTTTCACATGTTTCTGTGCCCTATTTAAACACAACACTGTAACCATTCATTAGAACTGCATCCTAACTTTTTTTCCCACTTTCTGTATTAGATAGTTACAAAATTCTTTATTCTATTCTCATGTGTCACGTAGTTGTGGATACGTGTTCATGTAATTGTAAAAAAATAAAAATTAAAAAAAAGACTCAGGATGATTTTCAGTGTAAACGAATCCTAACAGCCAGAGGTCCAAGAGAGTTTTGAAGATGACTCGGAGAGAAACTGTAAAAGTTTTTAAAAAAATGATAAGACTCTAAAAACTGAGAATATGGACGGGAAGCAGAGTGGAAGATTTGATGGATGTTGGAAATCTGTCAACAGGCTGACAAAGATTTGCGATCAACAGGTGATAGATAGTTTAAAGGATAAATCAGAATTTGTGAAGTCCTTAACTTGAGAGGTCAAACATTTTAATTTGGGATGGGATCTAGTGGCTCATTTAGGGGTTATTACACAGCTGTGTTAGGGAGCAGTCACACTGGCCATCCGTACCGTGCCCAAGAACGCTTCAACCCTAAAGTCTAGTTCGTTTGGCCAGTGGGATCACCATACCTGGCACACGTCCAAGAGGTGTGCTTCAGCACGCGGGTACACAACGCTGACAGCCTCTCAAGAGGTTATCGTGCTTAAGCAACAATAGTCCTGTGTAGTGTGACCGCGGGCCATGCCGGCCAATTGTGCTTGAGTACAGCACGGTACAGATGGCCAGTGTGACCGCGCCCTTAAATACTTGATTCTGATTGGCCAAATATGCATAACAATGGTCTGCTATCCCTTGATGATCACTGTTGCTAAGCAGAACAAACCATAAATAAGAGCACCAGATGGTTTGATGAATATGAAAATGATGTGCATTTTCATCTCTGGACTTTTGGCAGTCACCAGTTCTGATCCCAGATGAACACCTGAGAAGATAGACGGCAATTTATTGGAAAGAACTGCAGCACATGGAAGTGCCGGTTTGGTAGCAGCAGCGGTGGCAAGGCTAACCTTGTTAGCTGGGATTAGCTCTGCTAACAGTTTTCTGTTTCAGTTTTTTTACTTTACTGCAATCACGGAGACAATTAAAAGACAACATAAACGTATTACATAATTTAATACATTTACTCACCTTGTCAACAAATACATTAAGTACACATTTACGGCAGTAAACCTCGTGAAGCCACTCTACTGGTAATAATGTACATAAGATATGATATGTAATCCAAGCAGAACACTCAAAGTGATAAAACTACAGTGATTTTTACCTCTACCTGTTTGGTTTACAGGATGAGTGTGTGACACAGTGTGGTGTGTGTGTATTGCTTTCTTCGGTACATTCAGTCATAAAGTGCATGTGAATATTTTAAGCAACGCTGCAGAACTGTGCATATCAATCCCTTTTAAGTACACAAGAACATGCAGTATGGAAAAATAGGCAGGAAAGTAGAGATTTTAGCAGAAGCATGGCTGCATCTGTAGTGCACCAGTAATACCAGTCATCAGAGCTGCTTCAGGCTCTATATTCCATGAAGGGGCCTTTACCAGGTGGCTGTACAAATCTCTGAGCAATTTTGTTGCTATGAAACCTTCCATGCTTAAAAATAACACAGCTCACTAAGTTTTATTGTGCTCAGTGAGACACATCAATAAGCAACACAATAGATTTATACAAATATGGATAACAGCTGTAGTGGAATGGATTTTTATGCTTTAGCAAATGGAGACACAAATATGAGATTCAGATGATAAAAATGATAGAAAGAAAGAAAGAACACACACTACCCATTACAAATAACACATAAGACGTTACCTTCTAATGGTCATGTGTCAACATCAAAGTCAAGCTCATAAAGTACATGGCTTTCACCAAAGACTTAAACCAAAAATATATATAAAGCTTATATTTTAGTTTTGTCCTGTTACACATGAACATAAAGGAGACCTTTACCCCAAGTCAGAGCACACACACACACACACACACACACACACACACACACACACACACACACACACACACACACACACACACACACACACACACACGAGTGTTCCAGCTCTACAGCAGCAGTGTGAGAGCCCAGTGGTGCTGCTTCTCTCAGAGTCGAGGCGTTTGATGAGTCCACATCAGCTGTGACATGCCGGCTGGGAGACGGTAATGTGGTCTGACTCCCACTGTCACACAGTCAGAGACAGAGACAGATGCATGCATGGGTGGACAGATAGATGAGAGATGACAGCATGACAACAGCCAGAACATTCAAACCAAGCCTGCATATCTACATACTAAACGCTATGATCCATTACAGATAAGAGAGAGGGATGCTGCAACTTCATTTTGTTAAAATGTTTCACCTCAAATTAAGAGGGATGATACACCCATCACAAGCTGATGACAGAGGTTTTTATGTGAAGAGTCCATCAGTATTAACTAATCCATTCACACACAATCACATACTGCAGACAAAGCAGTGGGAGCTACATGGGGTGAAGTGTCTTGACACATCAGACATGTGGCTGCGGGAGCTGGGGATCGAACCTCCGACTCTCCGGTTAGACCGACTCTACCACTGAGCCACAGAAAATAATCAAGGCAGTTCTGATATACAATATGACAGTGTGAATAGATCTAGCATAGTGAAAAAAGTCGTTCTGCAACTTGACATTTCTTTCCTCAGTGTAACACCAGGAGCCTTATTTATATTATCTACATTTATCTGCATGTTTCAATTCATCCTGCAGCCTGTGACATCAGAGTCTGTTGACAGTTGCTACGATGGCTTGCTAGATCTGAAAAAAGATGCTAAAAGAGAGATTGGCTTGTGTTAAAGAAACTAGTCGCTCACCCTGACTCGATGACCCGCCGTCAGCTCTGTATACTTAACCACTACTGCCTGTTTGATGGAATGACTGAAAATCCTCAAGCAAACATGTGTGTTAATGTGTCAATATGAACCTCTTTGGTTGAAAAAGATGATGATTTCCTCCTTACACCACTTTCTTGTTATAGCTTTCTTTGATGCCACCAGTAGTATTCCAGCCAGGTATCTGTCTTTGCTTTGTATATTTTCCTGTGTTAAATTTCCCAGATACAGCACTTCACAAGTCTTAGGAAGTTCATAACCTAAAATTGCTTTCATTCCTTTCCACACTTCATCCCAGTACTCAGTCATTTTCACACATTGCCAAAAAACATGAGCGTGATCAACATTATGTTCCCCACACTGTCTTCAGCAAGGCTGTGGGACAAGTGAGAATCTTCCTTTAAGTTTTGGTGTTATGAAAAATCTCTTTAGTTCCTTTTCCCATTTATCTCTAATGTACAGAGTTGAAGTTTTTCTATTTCTCACCATATTTTGATACAACACTGAAATTACTCTCTTGAATTGACCTCTATATGCATAACACAATGTTACAATCAATCCGTTTAATTCAAGTGGGGAATCCGGCTTTATCTCCTTATTGAAATAATCTCTGATTTGTAGGTACATGTAGAAATCTTTGTTTTCTAAGTTTGAAATTAGTGTCATAGGCCA